GAGTCCGAAATGCAAGATATGCCCCTTTTCCATTTTAATTAGGTGTTCTGTGATTCTGGACAAGGCCGTTAACGAGCCCCAGTTTTTCAAGCTCACGGCATTTTGTGTGTGTTTTGGAATCTCTCTCTCGCTGCCGGAGCAATCCGTTGCCTCTCGTTTCAGCTCAGTCCTCAAATTCGCCCACGCATTTTCCAACACGCCTGGCCCCAGAGAGACACTGAGCGTTTGTACAGGCGTACTGAAGCTTGTCCAGTGTCAAAAGGCTCACTTTGCTAATTTCCTTGTTGCTGTTCTTAAACCAATTGCAGAGAAAAAGTGCAATGGCTTCCAGTGTCCGAATGGAAGTTGCATTCCTTCCAGCAAGCTCTGTAATGGGGTACGGGACTGCACAGACGGTTCTGACGAACAGCATTGTGGTACGTTCCCCTGACGGCACGTGGCCACAGCGGGGCGGGGCGGGGGATGGTGTTAATCCAGATCGTCATCGTCCCAGTTAGATCCACCTGATGGTCAGAATACCTTTAAATTCTCCAGTGAAACTGGAGACTCGGGAGCAGTGTCTTCGCCCACCTTCTGCCCCAGAAGTCATCCACCCACTTTCCTTCTGCTTTTACAACATGCTGTATTTCCAGTTGTGCTGCACAGCTAGCAGGGAAGTAGATAGACAAAAGGACCAGGGAGAAAACTTGAGGGAGAAACACAGCTGCTGAACTACCCCCTTTGTTGGGGGGTTTATAGGTGTAGCATCTATCTGCCGGTGGCAATGCTACCATCAGGTATAGATCGGGCTGTGGTGGCTCAGTGGTTAAGATGCTGAACTGCAGACTGGAAGGTCGGTAGTTCAGCCGTTTGAGACCCGAGTGCTGCATGACGGAATGAGCGCCCGTCTCTGGCCCCAGCTCCTGCCAACTGAGCAGTTTGAAAGCAAGAAATTGCAAGTAGATAAATAGGTACCACTTTGGTGGGAAGGTAACAGCGTTCCGTGCGCCTTGGTGTTTAGTCATGCTGGCCACATGACCACGGAAATGTCTTCGGACAGCGCTGGCTCTTCGGTTTTGAGATGAGCCCCGCACCCCTAGAGTCGGATTCGGCTGGCTTTTGAGCAAGGGAAGCCTTTACCTTTACCTACAGATGGAACACTCTGTCTGGGGCAGTGATGCTCTGTCTTCTTGGTGCTTGGGGGGCGCACAGTGGGAGGGTTTCTGGAGTTATGGCCCTGCTGGTGGACCTTCTGGTGGCACCTGGCTTTTGGCCACTGTGTGACACCGAGTGTTGTGCTGGAGGGGCCACTGGCCTGATCCAACAGGGCTTCTCTTACGTTCTTCCTCTTTTGCCTTCTCTTTGTTCAACTCCCTGCAGAACCCCTCTGCACTCGCTACATGGATTTTGTGTGTAAGAACCGGAAACAGTGCTTGCTGCGTTCCATGGTATGCGACGGCACCAGACACTGTCAAGATGGCTCAGATGAAGACTCTGCGTACGCCGGGTGTGGTAAGCTTGGAGGAGGGGCTGGCTGGGGATGAGCGGTAGAAACCGCACCCGGGATGGAGAAAGTCTTTGGCTCGATCCCCGGGAACTCAGGTTCAAAGATCTGGGGTGGACACTGTTGCGAAAGACGTCTCTGTGCCTGAGACCCTGGGGAGTCACTCAGAGTAGATAGTATCGAGCTGAACCAGGCCCATAGTCCGACTTAGCATAAGGCAGCTTCATGCATCCACTTCAGGGGATATTTCCTGCAGGAGCGCACAGGAGCAGAGCTCCGACAGTAAAGAGCCCAGGGGGCGGGCACATGCAACAAGCCCCACCCCCTGCTCCCAGCATCTCTCAGTCAGAGCTAGAAGCAGCCAGGTAAGTTGCAGAGCTCCCCCCCAGCCCAAAATAGTCCAGTGGCACCTTTAAGACCAAGTTTTATTCAGGTACAAGCTCTCCCTCCTCTGCCAGGACAGATCTGCACATTCCCCTCCCCGCCCAATAGCTAGCAATCCAAAACTGTCCAGTGGAGGCTGAGTGGTGGGTGCTACCTTCTGACACATGTCCGGTGATGTCAGGGGGTGTGGCATATGCAAATGAGTCATGCTAATGAGTTATGCTAATGAGCTCCTGCACCTCTTTTTCTACGAAATGACCCCTGGTCCAGTTTAAGACACAGGCCCTTTTGAAGACGAGAGCAGTGGCTTGCGAACGTTCGTACTCTCCCATAGATTTTGTTAGTCTTTAAGGTGCTACCGGACTCTTGCTCTTTTCTGATGCTGCAGACAAGCACAGCTGCCCGTCTTGAACTCTTTTTAAAACAGAGTCCCTGAATGTATGCTACAGGCTACGTGGTGAAGGTGACGCAGTTCTCAAGCGAGGCACGTACTTGTCTAGGAGGCTGTGATTTAAAAAGAAAAAAAAAATTTAGTCGGTTGTGTTCTTTGCAGCTCAAGATCCAGAGTTTCACCAGACTTGTGACCACTTCAGCTTCCAGTGCCAGAACGGCATGTGCATTAGCTTGGTGTGGAAATGTGATGGCATGGACGACTGCGGGGACTACTCAGACGAGGCCAACTGTGGTGAGTGTGCAGCCCCCTTTTTCAGACAGACAGCCAAAGATTTCCCCACTCGCTCTGGTAATTTTTTTTTGCAGCTGTGGTTGCGCTGTATTTGAAGTGGGACCCATCCAACCTCAAGGCATGAGGGTGTAAGCCTGCATCAGACAATCTCCCTGACTAGACTGTTGACCAACAATAAAGGGGCTCTGTGACAGACCCCTGATGCTTCCCCACTCCCAGGCAGATTTTCCCGCCAAAAATTTTTTTTGTTCCCCTCAGTGACTGAACCGCCTTCCAGTAGCGGGTATTTCTTCTTTATTTTATAAGCTTTAACTGTCCCACCCTGTCACAGATAGTCGTTTAGGCTTATAACTGAGCCTAGGAACTAGAGGGAATACAGGAGCTGTCTTAAAATACTCTCACGGAATGGCCGTGAGGCAAAATTAACTTTAAAAAACAGAATAAAGATTTTAATAGACAGGGAGTGTGTGTGTGGAATCAAGGTTTAGAGATGCTGAGGGTAAATTTTCTAATTTATACAGGTTTGAATTCTTAGAACATACAAGAGAGTGTTGTTGTGGCTGATTTTGAGAGTTTCAGGATCTTTGCTTTGCTTAGTATATTTCAGCACTAGCTCGGGTTCGTAATACTGTTTCCTGGCAAGTCGCGTTTGCTTATAGTTTCTAGATTCCTCCCATCAGAGTTCTAGGTTTTCCCTTTAGATATTACGACTTGAAGTGTCTGAGCATCTCCCCTTTATCTCAGACCAGGGTTCTCTTCCCAACCCCTTTCACTGGCAGGAAGTTATTCTCTTTGTCCCTAAGAAGCAGTAACTCCTTATCCTATTTGGCTTGTCTGGGAGTCCACTCTAGCTCTTCAAACCTCCTGCCAAATTCCTCTTCCAGTACTATTTTTCCATATAAAGCAGCGCTGTTGCTTTCTTGACTGAGAATCTAAATCCTCCCTCAAAGTAGTTTTAATATATCTTAGACAACGGGCTCCCTTGGGACGCCCTTCCAGCCCTATGTTTCACAAGATATTACCCAGGAGACAGAAGGATCAGCTGCAGTTACTCCCCTGTGATGTCATTAGTAGGTTGGACCTAACCCGCACAACTTTCCCTTGCTAGAAAACCCAACCGAAGCCCCCAACTGCTCTCGGTACTATCAGTTCCAGTGTGAAAACGGCCACTGCATCCCAAACAGGTGGAGATGCGACGAAGAAAACGACTGTGGAGACTGGTCCGATGAGAAGGAATGTGGAGGTAACAGCGAGTGAGCCAGTTTGGTGTAGTGGTTAAGTGCACGGACTCTAATTTGGGAGAACTGGGTTTGATTCCCCACTCCTCCACTTGCAGCTGCTGGTGTGGCCTTGGGTCAGTCACAAGTTCTCTCAGAGGTGTTCTCTCAAGACCAGTCCCTGAAAGAGCTCTCTCAGCCCCACCTGCCTCCCAGGGTGTCCGTTGTGGGGAGGGGAAGGGAAGGAGATTGTAAGCCGCTCTGAAACTCCGAGTGGAAGGGCGGGGTATAAATCCAATCTCTTCTTCTTTTGAAGTTACTCACAATAGTTTGGGGACTTGTTGTAGCAGGAAAAGACACATTTCTGCCATCACTTTTGACTTATTTTGCATCTTCGGTATTTATTTGTGCCCCAACGGGATCCCAAAAGAGCTTACACCCTTCAATCCTCCGTTTTGTCTTCAGACAACCCTGTGAGGTAGGTTTAGGCTGAAAGGGAGAGGGACTGGCCCAGTCACCGAGCAAGCTTCCATGGCACGAGTGGGGAGAGCCTGTGTCTCCCGGTTCCTAGGAGCTGCGGTGGCTCATGTGGTTAAGACGCTGAACTGCAGGCTGTGGAAGATCAGTAGTTCAGCAGTTCGAGACCCAGGTGCCGCATGACGGAGTGAGCTCCCGTCTTTAGTTCCAGCTCCTGCCAACCTAGCAGTTCGAAAGCAAGAAATTGCAAGTAGATAAATAGGTACCACTTCGGTGGGAAGGTAACAGCGTTCCGTGCGCCTTGGTGTTTAGTCATGCCGGCCACATGACCACGGAAACGTCTTCGGACGGCTCTGGCTCTTCGGCTTTGAAACGGAGATGAGCACCGCAACCCTAGAGTCGGACTTGACTGGCTTTCGAGCAAGGGAACCTTTACCTTTACCTCCCGGTTCCTATTCTGAGACTCTAACAACCGCACCGCCGTGGCTCAGGAGTGCATGCGCCGTTTTTTTGGTGGCTGCCTGGTTTGCATCGCCTCTCTCTGCAGCATCCAGCGCCACTCTTAGAGAGCAGCTACTTTGCTGCGTTGCCAAAGACGGTCCAAAACGATTCCAGAGTTGCCCTCTATGTCTCAATTAGGCTGGTCTTGAAGAGTAACATCCAGTTTCTTATTCTCCAAACAGTTAGGGAGACAGAACTGGTCCATTAGGGAGACAGAATTCCTTTGGCACTGCATCAGATTTATCGACTGCTGGTTGGACATCTTTTCTGTAGACCAGAAGATATTAATGTGCTTATCCTCACCTGGATGGCCCAGGCTAACCCGATCTCTCAAGATCTTGGAAGCTAAGCAGGGTCGGCCCTGCTAAGCTAGGACTTGGATGAAAGATCACCAAGGAAATCCGTCCAAGGATGCTACGCAGAGGCAGGTAGTGGCAAGCCACCTCTGAATGTCTCTTGACTTGCAGACCCTATGGGGTTGCCATAAGTCAGCTGCAACTGGATGCCACTTTCCACCACCAGTGGCAAGAATACACTGTCCTAGCTGGGGGGAGGAGGGTAGAATCTGGTGGCATCCAAGTGCTGGGCAAAGCCAGTCAAGCCCAGTGAGATGTACTTGGTGCTACAAAGAAGGGGAAGTAGCTTAGCTGACTGTGCTGGGTCAGCTGGTCACCACGGACACCATGCACTGGAAACTGGATACGCAGTCCAAAAGCAAGTCGAGCAACAGAGTCGAAGCTCAGAAAGCCGGGAAATCAAAGGTTGCAGGAGCTAGGAACAAGGAGCGGAGACTAACGGCCAGGATCAGGTCCGAGTACGCACGGTTGCTTCCGTGCTGAGGCAGGTGCGTGGGGGCGTTATGACCAGGTCCTCCCTTCCCTGGGAGTCGATCTGCCAAGACTCACAGCCCCTCACGTTGCCTTTGCAAGAGCTGCAGCCTGGCACTCTCCCTTCGCTCTTGCACATCCAGCCGCTGGCGTGCCCTGCGTCTGGGACACTCAGGAGAACTAGGTGGGGATTCTGGCCTCGGGGTGTCTTCAACTAGGGGTGCTGGGCCAGGCTCTGGATCAGTCCCTCCCTCTGGCTGCCCCTCCTGTGCAGCTGCTGGGGCCTCTTCTCCCTCAGGTGCTGTTGAGGGTTCCTCTGCTGGGCTGACTCCCGAGGAGGCTGGGTTGCTCCGTGCCTCTTCCTCGGCTGAGGAATAGTCAGCCTCAGCAGAGCCAGGACCCACAACAATGACTTTTAAAATGTAAGAGACAACTTTATGGAGAATAGCCTGTCAGATCCTGTTGGTGGTGGTAGCAATGTGGAACTTTCGTTTTCAGAGACAGTATATCTCTGATTATCAGAGGAGGGGGCAATATAACAGGCTGTTGGTTGCGTTTGTGCCTGTTTCACAGAGATACCTAGCCAGCTGCTGCTGGAATTGTGGACTAGATGGTTCCCCAGTCTGGTCTACCAAAGCCCTTGAATTCTTCTTCTTCTTCTTTTTAAATTATATTTTGATTAGGTTTTCATTAAAATAACAGATTTACATAACATTCCAAGAAACAGCCGAATTCCGAAGCAGGTTGCTTATCAGTACATACATAACAAGAATAAGTTGGCGAATAAATCCATATAGTAAAAAGGAGAGAAGCAAAGTGTGTCTTAGATTTATAGTATACGTAAGGTGAGTAATATTGTTAGTCTTCATGGGGACTCAAAAGTAGCATCAAGTTGCAGCCAACGTATGGTGACTCCGTAGGGGTTTCAAGGCAAGAAACATTCAGAGGTGGTTCGCCACCGCCTGCCTCTGTATCGCGACCCCAGTCTGCAGAAGTGAGCAGTGACGCACGGAAGCTCATTTATTTATTTATTTATTACATTTCTACCCCGCCCTCCCCGCAAGCGGGCTCAGGGCGGCTCACCACAGGGCACCATGTGCCAGCACATAAAAACAGGATTAAACAATCACATATAATCAATTAAATATACAGTCATTTCAGTCTATCACTTAAACAAGATGGTATCACCAAGATGTTACTATAACACTGTCAGTCCTTCACTAGAGGAGGATAATGTCCCGTAAATGCTGTTCATCCTCCATCCAGCGAAACCGATCCACAGCTATGCCATAATTTGATCTTCATAGGGCTGTCCCTTACCCTGTTGTTACCAATACCCCTGCCGCAAATTTTGTTAGTCTTTCGGGTGCTGCTAGACTCCTGCTCTTTTCTACAACCCCAGTCTTCATAGCAGCCCTTGACTTCCTGGGTGGTCTCCCATCCAAGTACTAACCCAGGCCAAACTTGTTTAACATCCAAGATCTGATGAGATCGGGCTAGCCTGGGCCATGCAGCTCAGGGCGTTCTCAATGCATTGTTAACGCAACCCAATATTGTTGGTTTTGTTCTAAGGTTCCGAAATCGTTCCCGTCACTACATCAGCGCCTGCCACGTGTTCGCCTAACCACTTCCGGTGCAACAGCGGGGCGTGCATCATGAACAGCTGGGCTTGCGACGGGTACCGGGACTGTGCGGACGGCTCTGATGAGGAAGCCTGCCCCACTGCTTGTAAGACCACAGCACTAGTTTCTGATGGGATTCCCCTTTGCAGTCCTTATAAAGCTCTATCTGTGCGTTGGGTGGTGTGCCCCAGAGGGTTTACGTTCTACACTGGATTGGAAGTACACGTAAGGTGTGGAAAGACACGAGGGATTTGCAGCTAAGTAATAAAGCTGGCTTTGGGTAGGGATTCTGGGGAGCGCTGGGGTTGGTAAGAAGCTTATCTGCGATTCCCCTGTGAGAAGATTAGTAATGGTAGAGCAGCATGCCTGAGGTAACAGTTCCTTGGCCACTGCGGTCTCTTAGGCAAGACTGGTGTCCGTGGGCATCATGGTGCCCACCTTCCCTGGTGCACATCGAGTGGGTGGGGCCAGGAGAGGCTTTTGAGCAGTGAGGCTTCTGATTGGCCAGTGGAGATCTGATTGGCTGTGCAGATTTTTTGCTTCGGTGGCAGCTGCCCCCACAAGAACAAGGAACGTCACTTTGTGACTGATTCAGGTGGGTCGCCGTGTTGGTCTGAAGCAATAGAACAGAGTTTGAGTCTAGTGGCGCCTTTAAGACTAACAAATGTTTAATTCTGGGTATAAGCAGGGGTCATTTGGGGCCGGAGCAAGCCGGAGCAGTGCTCCGGCAGCCCAGGAGCAGGCACAAGTGGTGGTGGCGGCAAGCCCCGCCCTCAGTTCTCTAGAGTCATACTGCAGCAGCAGTGCGATCTTTCAATTTTATTTTCTATGGCCCCATAGCGGCGGTGCGACTCCAGAGAGAAGGTGTTTAAACTTTAAATTACACCCCTTCCCTCTTTTCCCCCCCCCCCCCCCCGGCCTTAGCAGGCCGGCTAGGGAAGGGGAGGGGAGGCTTTTGAAGATGCCTCCCCACATTTTTTGCTTCCCCTTCTGACACACTTCCAGTGATGTCAGGGGGCATGGCATATGCTAATAAGTTATTATGCTAATATGTATGCTAATGAGCTCCTGCACCTCTTTTTCTACAAAATGACCCCGAGTGGAGAGTAAATCTGTCCCAGTCAAATAGATCTAACGCATTTTTGATCCTCCTGCGGCTGCTTTTTACAGCTCAGTTACACAATTTGAAGTCCAGTCAGAGCCCCCCCCCAAGATAATATGTATTTTGGTCCTTAATGACTAAGGCTGATTTTGCACAAGGCTGCTGGTGGTTGATATGTTCGACCACATCTTCGAATCCTGGTTCACTGGACCCCCTAACTAACCATAGTTAGTGGCATGACCTGCGTTCAGGTGGTCACACTAACTTTAGATTAGTTGTTGTAGATTTTCCGGGCTGTATGGCCGTGGCCTTGGCACTGTAGGACCTGACGTTCCGCCAGCGGCTGTGACTGGCATCTGCAGATGTATAACACGGAAAGATGGAGTACTCTCTGTGTCAAGGTTTTTTCCCCTTCTCACCTTGACACAGAGAGTACTCCATCTTTCTGTGTTATACCTCTGAGGATGCCAGTCACAGCTGCTGGCGAAACGTCAGGCCCTACAGTGCCAAGACGACGGCCATACAGCCCGGAAAATCTACAACAACTAATGAACTCCGGCCGTGAAAGCCTTTGACAACATATTTTACTTTAGATGATTTGTTCAAACCCTTGGTTTCATACATTATCGGAACCGAGCTACTGTTGGGTTCTGCTGGACAGACGTAGCAAATCAGAAGCTCTCCTGTACTTCAGCCTATAAAGCAAATCATCAGAAAAGGACAGAGTAAGACTCGGCTCAATAGTCTGAGGCCACCGTGGGTGCCCCCCTCTCTTCTTCAGGCTGAGGTCGCCCTCTGGTGGTACGCGAAGCAAGGGACGGTCATTCTGGGCCAGCGGAATCTGTAGGAAAGGGGGCGAGGGTGCAGTTCTGTGCCGGTGCAGTATATCCCGTTTTGCATCTCGCGATGGATCCTTTGTTAACGGCTTTTCCTTCCCGCTGCCCAGCCATCGGCGCCTCTTCTACGTCGGCCAGCTCCGCCGGCCGCTGCAGCCGATTCGAGTTTGAGTGCCAGCAAATGAAGAAGTGCGTCCCCAACTGGAAGCGCTGCGACGGCTTGAAGGATTGCCAGGATGGCACGGACGAGCAGAATTGCCGTAAGTGGGACTGCCAGTAAAACAGTAAATCACCGTGTACAAATAAACAATATGTTGATTTTTATCTGCAATGTTTTAGAATTCAGTTATAAACAAAATTACAACCATAACACTATAATATGCAATACAAAGCTTAGCAGTACATATAGAATACTACAGTATTAGTTTCAGACAAACGACGGAGTTCTAGTACACTATCCGTTTGCGAGTCCTTCTTCAGGTTTGTCATTCTGTACTTATATCTTCATTAGAATGAAGTGCTGCAAGCCATATTTCAAAATGCTAATTCTTATACAAGTTTTTGATGTACGCTACCGCACTTATTCTGGTGACTGGGGAGCTCCTATAGCTCCTATAGCAAGCTCTATTGTGACAGGGTCTACAGTAATAATTGGCTAAGCATCCCTCAGTCAGTAAGTGGGACTGCAGCCGTCACCTTTCGCGGCTCCTCCCCCAACGGTCCCTTCCGGTCTATCAGATAAGCGAGCAAGACCGTAAGATGCGTCCCCTGTCGTTTTATTTCTCCGGCTATCCGTGCCTTCCTTCGCGATAGCTGTGGTCAGTTGCTGCTGTCCAAGCAACAGTTGATATTTCTGTACAGGTTAGGAACGGTTGTCCCTTTCCGGGGAGGGGCTGTGGCTCGTTGGCAGAGCCTCTGCTTTACATGCAGAAGGTCCCAGGTTCAGTCCCCGGCATCTCCAGTTTAAAGGACCGGGCAGTAGGTGGTGGAAGAGACCTCCTGCCTGAGACCCTGGAGTGCCGCTGCCAGTCTGACCTTGATGGACCAAGGGTCTGACTCAGTGGAAGGCTGCTTCAGGTGTGTTTGTGTGCAATGCAGGGATTGCAGTATGGATAACACTGTCCTGCTTGTTTCCTGGGCCAAGGGCTTTCCATTTTCCGCCTCCTCTTCTTTCCCTGTAAAAGCCAATGTGGATCCCACAAAAACTGCATGACCCCCACCCACCCATCCTCCAGCACAAACAGAGAAACTGTTTTTGCTGCTGAACTGGAGAAACACCCCCCCCCCCCAAATATTGGAGACAACCCTTGTGGGCATCTTGGAGCCGCTGCTGTGCAAGTGATGACACCAATAAAATGTTTGTGCAGCAGGAACTGTGAATGTGTTGATGGGCTGGCGTCATCATCTGTGAATGCGTCCATTCATCTGTGCTGACAGCAATGGTCCCTCCAAGCTGTGGAGTCTTGTGTGCAAAAATTCTACTTTGGGAGCTGCTGGCGTTAAAGTTGTGAGCGAGCGATTTGGCCAATGCATAAATTAGTTTGCTCTATTCTTCCTGCCGATAAAGGTCTGTGTACGTGTATGTATGTAGCTTGCTCTGGAGCCATCCTTCCTGAGCTAAGATAAAAATGTGTGAGCTGGAGGCTAAAAAACTGTGAGCTGGCTCACACTAACTCAGCTTTAGACGGAACGCTGGCTGACAGTAGCTGGGCATTCCGGAGTTCCGTGCTTTAAAAGACCCCAGTTTTGAGACTGGAAGTCTGTGCACGGCTGTTGTTCCATTGTGTTGGTCCCTTTTGGAAGAATCAGGAAGATTTCCAGGTGTTGTTGTGGCAGATCGGTAAAGGAGGATTGGACTCCCAAAACATTACATAAGAACATAAGAGAAGCTGATGTTGAATCAGACCAATGGCCCATCCAGTCCAACATTTTGTGTCACACAGTGGCCAAAAATACCAGGTGCCCTCAGGAGGTCCAGCAGTGGGGTCAGGACACTAGAAGCCCTCCCACTGTTGCCCCCCCCCCAAGCACCAAGAAGACAGTGCATCACCTGCCCCAGCCTGTGAGTTCCTATCTATGCCTTGTGGCTAATAGCCACTGATGGACCTCTGCTCCATATGTTTATCCAGTTTCCTCCTGAAGCCGTCCATGCTTGTAGCCGCCACCACCTCCTGTGGCAGTGAATTCCCTGTGTTCATCACTCTTTGGGTGAAGAAGGACTTCCTTTTATCCGTTCTAACCCGACCGCTCAGCAATTTCATGGCGAATCCACGAGTTCTTGTACTGTGAAAAAGGGAGAAAAAGTACTTCTTTCTCGACCTGCTCTAGCCCATGCATAATCTTATAAACCTCGATTGAGTAGGAGTTGCTGTCTTGCCAGGTTACTGGATCCAGAACTGCTCTCAAGCTGCAACCTTCCAAAACACATGGTCAGGATATTCAGTTTGGCTGTGGCGGGGGCACAACAGAAGGTTATGGAATACCCAGATTCCGAGCCGTGAACTGTTACGCAATGCTTGAGCATGTGCTGTTTTTGTTAGGACTTTGCTTGCGGAGTTGAAGGTTCGCCTTTGTTTTGTCTTTCTGCCAAAGACAAGCAGGAGCCTGTCCCTTGCAAAAAATTTACGAGGGAGCATGTAGGCCAAGGGTTGGAACATGTGCTTTGCATACAGACCGTGGGGAGGGGCTGCGGTTCAGCGGGAGGGCCTCTGCTTGGCACGCAGAAGGTCCCAGGTTCAATCCCGGGCATCTGCAGCTAAAAAAAGAATCAGGTGGTAGGTGATGCGAAAGACCTCAGCCTGAGACCTTGGAGAGCCCCTGCCAGTCTGAATAGACAAAACTGACCTTGATGGACGGAAGGTCTGATTCAGTCTAAGGCAGCTTCATATGTTCATGCTGGTGCAATCCAGAGTTGAAGGACATCGATTAGCATCCCTGAGACGCAACCCCCCCAGCCCGAGACCTTCGGGGACTGCTTCTGTTCAGAGTAGAGAGAATGGGGTTAGAGGGACCAGGGGTGTGATGGTATCAGGAAGCATTGTATTTTTTCTCCTTGTCCTCCAGCTACGCACAGCACCTTGACGTGCCCCAGTGGGTTTAAATGCGAAGATGGGGAGACTTGCTTCAAGATGGCGGAGCGGTGTGATGGTTTCCTGGATTGCTCAGACAACAGCGATGAGAGAAATTGTACTGGTAAGTCAGTGTGCAGCCACGGGAATCGCAGATCTCTCCATTTCATCTTCTGTGTTTAGGTGGAGTTGCATTCCTCGTGGATAGAGGACAGCCTCCATAAATGCCCATCTTCTTTCGCACTTGGGAGGATCTTATTTCTTCGTCCAGTTCAATGATTCCTTTTCTTTTGTGTGTATGTTTCTGTGAACATTTGTATCCCGCCTCTCCTGTCTATTTTATGTCACACTACTGTTCCCTTCCCTTTGAACAGCAATATTTGGTATTGCGTTTCAGGCAGGTAGCTGTGTTGGTCTGTAGTGGTTGAGGGCAGGGTATAAATAGAAATAATAATAATAATAACAACAACAACATTCAAGTCCACTAGCAATGTAAATTTTTCCCAGGGTAGAAGCTTTCATAAGTGAGAGCTCACTTCATCAGATACAAATAGGAATGAAGACCCATGAGCCTTTATATTTTTATTTTTATTTATTAATTCATTTTTTTTGGCTAGTCTTTATTTTTTAACCGTTGTCTTTTAATTTTTTTTAAAGCTATCTTTTTATTAACAACAATTTACAGTAGCACATAATTATTAATTTTTTAGGCTGCCCTTCCCTGCCAGCAGGGCTCAGGGCGGCTTACAATAAAATTCAATATAAAGGACATCAATCACTGCAAGGACACTCAAAAATGAAGACTGCGAGCCGACTGTGAGTGGAGAACACCGAATAATGGCTGCCACCATCAAACGAATGACGACGACTAGCACTTTATTATGGTTTTAGAATTGTTTTAATTGCAAGTTATTTGTTTAAGGTAACTTATTTGTTTTAAGGTAACTTATTTGTCTGGCTGGGAGGGCGGGTTAGAAATTCGGTAAATAAGTAAATAACATGCCACAGAATACAAGACTACCACAATTAAAAGTTGAAACCTACAATAAATAACAGTTAATACATAAACACAGCCAGCTCATGATGGTAGAAAATAGCTTAATGCTAAAATTTTCACAGGCCCCCTGGGGCGGATATGTGAGGGGTGGGGAGTATGAGAGTGCCAGACTTCATACTGTACCATTGCTGTCCTCAACTGAGTGCTGAATATCGAGGTCAGAAGTTAGGGGGTGTGACAGAGAAAAGCCAGTGGGAGTCAGGATGCAGTGGAAGAGTGCAAAAAGAAATGAGCTTGGTTGGAGCTGGGAGATATACGCAGGGCCCCCTGGGGGGGATATGGGGGGGTGGGGAGTATGAGAGTGCCGGACTTCATACTGTACCATCGTTGTCCTCAACTGAGTGCTGAATATCGAGGTCAGAAGTTAGGGGGTGTGACAGAGAAAAGCCAGTGGGAGTCAGGATGCAGAGGAAGAGTGCAAAAAGAAATGAGCTTGATTGGAGCTGGAAGATATATGCAGAATTGGAAAAGGCAGAAAATTAGCATATGTAAAGGATTCTTTGTCCCTCGTGTTTAGGAACATCTGTAGTCACCGCACCAAGAGCTAAGCTGGTGCATTAGCTAAAGCAGGGGGGTCCCAAACTTGCTGAACCTGTGGGTACTTTTGGAATTTTAAAAAATTATTAAAATAATTTTATTAAATAAATACAAAACAATACAGATAATCCCAAACAATACAAACTATTTAACATTAATAATATTCTTGATATTCTATTCAGTTAGTATATCTATCTAAAACTTAACCAATTAAAACTCTTAACATGTTTTCTAATAGAAGAAGAAAAGAAGAAGAAGAAGAAGAAGAAGAAGAAGAAGAAGAAGAAGAAGAAGAAGAAGATATCCTTGATATTCTATTCAGTTAGTATATCTATCTAAAACTTAACCAATTAAAACTCTTAACATGTTTTCTAATACTATAGTTGGATTAGCAACCATCTTGTATAAATATAAAAATTTGAGTTCAACTAGCTAATATTTATTGATCAAAATTAAAACATACTCTAAATATGGGAGTTTATAGAATAAACACTTCAGATGAAACTAAATAATCAGGGATAATTCCATTCTGTGCCATGTAATTTATGATGGGAAACCACTTTTCAACAAAAGTTGATTGATAGTTTTTAAGTCTGTAATTTTTTTCCTAAAATATAGCAGTCCTGTATCTTAGACATCCATAAGAACATAAGAGAAGCCAATGCTGGATCAGGCCAATGGCCCATCCAGTCCAACACTCTGTCACACAGTGGCCCAAAATACCAGGTGCCCTCAGGAGGTCTGCCAGTGGGGCCAAGACACTAGAACCCCTCCCATTGTTGCCCCCCACCCGAAGCACCAAGCATATAGAGCATCACTTGCCCCAGCCTGAGAGTCCCTATCTATACCTTGTGGCTAATAGCCACTGACGGATCTCTGCTCCATATGTTTAATTCTCTCTTCAAGCCGTCCATGCTTGTAGCCGCCGCCACCTCCTGTCTTGGGTGTCAACAAGCTTTTTGGGTTTCAGATGGTAGCCGATTTGTTCTTCGCTATCGCTGTCTTTGCAGCGGTTAATAATGTGACAATTCAAAGTCTTTCGTACTTGTGGAATTGGAATATCTTCCCATAGATGAAGCAGTATAGCTCAGGACGTAAAGGGAGTGAATACCCTGTTATTAATAGGATCAATTTCAATATCTTTTGCCAAAATTCAGCAGTGTAATATAATAACACGACCACTTTTGGAATTTTGAGAAAGGGTAGAGGCTAGGGCTGCCAAGTGGGGCCGGGGGGTGGGTAACCCCCCGCTTTGGAGGCCCGATTTCCGCCACTGTGGAATCGGGCCCCAGGGGGAACTCCTCCCCCTGAAGCGCACGTTGGGGGCGTGGCCCCGATCATCAGTGGGAAAACGCTATGGTTTTCCCTCCGACGATCGGGGCCATGGCCTCAACGTGATTGACGTCGCGCGTCACTTCCGGTGATGTGCTGGCGGCGCATGCGTGCTTCGCGCACATGCGTGCACGACGAGGGACAGCTCCCGGAGCGCGGCAAGGCTCCCCTGCCGGTGAGTAAAATTCACTTGGCAACCCTAGTAGAGACCATGCAAACAAAATGGCCGCCGTGGGGAGGTTCAGCTCCGTGAGGTTGGTTAGGCTGAGAATGGGCAGCTTGGCCTAAGGTCCACTGGGGGTTACATGGCAGAGGGGCGGTCTGACTCCATATCTCCCAGGCAATGTTCCCTCTAAGCTGTGGAGTCCTATGAGCAAAAATTCTATTTTGTGAGCTACTGGCATTAAAGTTGCGAGCGAGCGATTTGGCGACTGCATAAATTAGTTTGCTCTGGAGCCCTCCTTCCTGAGCGAAGACAAAAATGTGTGAGCCGGAGGCTAAAAAACTGTGAGCTGGCTCACACTAACTCAGCTTAGAGGGAACACTGCTCCCAGGTCTCCTTCCCTCTACATCAGGTTTTCAGATGCGTAAATGTTAGTTAGTGGGGAATGTTGGTCCACTTGGAAATGGACACAAGTGGGATTTAAAGCAAACGAGAGTCTGAAGAAGAGGGGCAAAAAAATGTTTCCGAAGCAGGCTTCCGCAGCATGTGACCCACCAACCAAGTGCTTTTCAGCTGACCTTTATGCAAAGTCCCAGGTAAGCTGCAAAACTGGAACTTTTTATCAAGATCCCCACAGTCTATGGTGCATTGCAGGTGAGCTGCATTTGGTTTTGGTTTTTTGGCCCCCCCCCCCCCCCTTTCAGGGTTTGCACAGTGAGTTCCTGGCCTCTTGGAGAGATGCGTTTGGAGACTGTGTCTCCGTTTTTTTCTTCCTCCCATCCTCCCAGGAATTACCCCTACAGACAAAATGGTGTTTTGTCAGCGAAATTCCTGGCCCTCGATTCATTCCGGCTTAGATAATGACAACACTAATAGCAATCGATCGCTCCTCTCCCCACCCCCAGCCCTGGTGCCTTGGGATTCAGCCATTTGCTTCTGAAGCGCAGAGGCTGCAGAACATCAATCAGTTTTTAGTTCTTTAATTAAATATTGATCTGGGGAGACTGCCCACGTTGTGTTCATCAGACCTCCGCAACTTACCGCCCTGGCCTGAATTCTAAAGAGAAGCGGGGCTCTTTCCGGGAGCGTGGATGCACAGACCTTGTGGTACTTTGGCACTTTCCCTGAGGTTCGGCTAGTGTTACGGCTGATCTGAGTATCAGAAAAATTGCACACAACACAAAGTTGCAGGAACTGTACTGGGAGGATTGCGCGTTTGCGTGCTTCTGCTGTCCCCAAATCAAAATCCTCCTTGTTCATGGAAAACTAGCATCTCAGGGAAAGATTTTGTACTTCAGTCCCTGATGTCCTTTATTTTCTACATGTGGGGTCAGCAGTGTTCCCTCTAAGCTGAGTTAGTGTGAGATAACTCACAGTTTTTTAGCCTCCGGCTCACTTATTTTTGTCTTAGCTCAGGAAGGACGGCTCCGGAGCAAACTCATTGACGCAGCAGCCAAATCTCTCGCTCACAACTGTAATGCCAGTAGCTCACAAAGTGGAATTTTTGCTCACAAGACTCCACAGCTTAGAGGGAACACCGGTGGGGAGTATTATTTTTAAATGTAGGTATCCAACTTGCCTTCTCTCACCTGTGCCACATGATTCATCTGCATTTATACATCAGTTGTTTTACTTCGTATCCTCATTCCTTTGAATAATAAAATGATGTGGCTTGTGCGTGTCACAAAAGCGACAAAATCGAAAAGCCGCAGACAACGTCAAGGTTTCGACATAATCAGGGAACTCCCCAGATATGCAGAAAACTTTGGGTTTTGTACATAACCAAAAGAAAACAGGGAAGAAGAAGAAGAGATTGGATTTCTACCCTGCCCTTAACTACCCAAAGGTTTCTCAGAGCGGCTTACAAACTCCTTTCCCTCCCCCTCCCCACAACAGACGCCCTGTGAGGTAGGTGGGGCTGAGAGAGCGCTTGACAGAAACTGCTCTTTTTCAAGAACAGCTCTTATCAGAACTACGGCTTGCCCAAGGTCATCCAGTCAGGTGCAAGTGGAGGAGTGGGGAATCAAACCCAGTTCTCCCAGATTAGAGTCTGCGCACTTAACCACTACACCAAACTAGAGTGAAAAAAGGAAACCAACCCCAAATGGCCTGACATGGGTTGAGCATGTTCCAAGAGGCACAGAAGACTGAGAGTGCCTTTTTTTACCAGAAGCACTACTCCTAAAAAATTTGGTGAGATCCACAGGGCAATAAGAGTAAGACTGATCTGATCCACACTTTGTTAGCCATTGCCAGAAGTACCGTAGGCGCGGCATGGCTAGAGACAAACTTCCCCCCCATGATTCAATCCTGGCAAAAGCATATGTTCCTTATGTCCAAAATATCACTTAGCCCACTCAATCTTTCCTCCAGCAAATCTGAAGAAAAATTTATAGCATCCTGGTATCCACTCATCTCTCCTATATTATAAAAGGGTTTTGGGTGCCAGAATTCTAAAATGCGCCCCGTTAGTGTATGGGCAGAAAAAATGCCACTCAGAAGACGCTGCCTGCGATGACTGGCTCCCTCACCGAACCTGGCCTGCCATTGGCTGGGTGGCTGGGAGGGGAGGGAGCCAGTCATCGCCGCAA